CCTATCCCCTGTGTGCCTTTGCCTCCCACGTACTAAAAAAGGATTTTTATTTGTTAATGTAAATTTTTTAATGTTTTTTCATCATTTGGGCAAGATTGGAAATTTTTTTGACCATTAATACTTGTTTTTACATTTTTCCATCGTTTTAAAAAAAAATTAAAATACCTTTGGGTACAAATCGATTCTTTAAATTCTATTTTTTTCATTAATTTTCAACTTCATTTGGATATTTTTTGTTTAGTGATGCTTTAAATATAATTTTCATATCTTATAATGTTTTTTTTTTAATTATTTTTTTTTAGCTCTTTCTTCACCGCTTGGGACTTGCTCAGCTAGGCCAGTTGAACCGCTTCTGATCCCACGTCCAGTTAACTGTTCTGGTTCGATTTTTTTTTACACTGGTCAAAACAAACTTTTCCAATGGGTTTTTAAGGTACGCCTTAGTTTTGCAATATAAAGCGAACACTTTTTATATAAGGATAAAGTTTCTATAAGGCCTAGGCTTTATGAAAAGAAAATAAAGCCTCACCTCAAATCCTTATTTGTAAGGCACTTTCAACATTGAAAATTTCTATGATGGTTCTAAAATCAATTTCCAATACCAACAATAAATAGAATATGAAACTGACAAAATGTACAGATCTTGTGGAACTGTGAACACTTATTTTTAGGGAGAAATGGACAGTCTAGATAATTTGTTGCAATATACACTATTTTTGGAACTTAAAATCCTACTTTTTTTCACCACCGTAATATTCAAGCTGAGGTGATTGATATAACGGTTTTCCAATGCTTGAATTGCAATTTTTGATGAGTTATGAGTTGAGGCTTTTATCAAACATATTCCTTTATATAAATTCTTTCCTCTTTCCAATATCCAAATTATAAAGGATATATCCAATAAATTTTTCTTTAGTTTATTGTAATTTAAGTCATTGCTAAACAAGGCAACGGCCAATACTTGGGGGGAGGTACCATTCAGGCAAATCTCATCAGTTCATTGTCATCGACCTAACTCATAGCCTGATACCCGGCTCGACAAGGTGAGAGGGATTGTCAGTCAATGGTGGGCTTTGCCGAGCAAGAAATTCAAACCGTTCTAATTCTAGCGGTAGTGGGGGAGACTGTGATGAGGTGAGTTTACCATTGATTCCTCATGCAATATCCTACTCCAAGTCTAAGATTTTGAGTTAATTTAAGCAAAAAAATGCCGCTGGTTTTTCGCTTCCACGAACTTTTCATGTCTTTGTTGTCGGAAAAGGAAAATTGTTTCAAGCGGTCCCAACTTTTCCTGTCCTTTTTGTCGAAAAAATAAAATTGTTTCATGCAACGCTGTCCCACCCTATAAAGCATCCATCTTAAAGATGAATGCAAGTAGAGTAGAGGTAATTTATTTAACAACAATTGAAACTAGTGGTCTAAATGTTTTTTATATAATTATTATTTTTATTTTTTAAAATTTATTTATCTCTTTTATATTCATGATCTCCATTTTTAGAGATCACATGTCCTTAAAATTTTGGATCTACAAATCTATCTAAAAAATAAATTAAATTTTTAAGGGTCTAACTCATTTCTACATGGACTGATAGAACTCGCGGGAAAACATGAAATAAACTAAACAAACAAAGACATTGGAAGAGATGGAGAGATAGAGATAGAGCATGAGTTGAGTTCACCAAGGCCTTTGACTTTGAGGTTGGAGCCATTATATTAAAGAGTTCTCTCTCGCATTTTCCTCCCCCCTTCCCAAGTCACCTCGTTGACAAAATAATAAATAAGTTTGAGCCGGGTTGTCTATGGGCAGGGCCCAGTTTTGGTTCTGGCCGCCAATAAACATACATAAAAAAAAAGGCTCGGCCAAACCGAACCGGCCTTCTTTCGCCCAAGCCCAGCCTGGTCCTACCTTCTTCGGCCCTCAGTACTACATTTTGCAGCCTAGACCCTAGTTTTGGAGGGCCAGTCTGATAGAGCCTGGCCGGTTAACCCGGGTCATTACTACCCGTTACGTATGTCTCTCTGTCTACACGCGTCACAGTGAAATTTCGTTCTTCGGCAATTTGCAACCTCAACAGACCTCATGCGTTTATTTTAAAGTTCGGAGTTCAAACCCATTTCATAAACTCGGAGAGAAAGACATGATATACTGATTTTACAGTTGAAGGTTCAAACCCGTTTCATAAACTTAGAGAGATATTTTTTTGTGCCCGGGGAGTCATTCGGGTCCCTGAGAGAGAGAGAAGGATTCATTTTCAGAACACCCACTTCATAGATACAGAGAGTTTCCCTTTGAATCAAGAATCCAAGACAGAGAGAGAGAGGCAGCTCATTCTAAAATCCCAAGAACTCATCTTTCAAAACGTAAATTACGAGCCCCACCCCACTTCTGTAATGGCTCACCCCACTCTTTTTTATCTCCTCACCTTATTCACCACCTTCATAATATTCTTCTTCTCCTCTGCAAATTCAGACCCAAGAATCACCCAGGCCGCCATTATCTGTGGTAACAAGACTGCTCTAGATCGGCCCGCTTTTACTCGAAACTTTTTATCAGCTTTGGACTCTCTCACTCAACAAATAGCTAACCAAAGATATGCCACAGTGGTTCAAGGCTCAAACCCAAGTACAGTTTATGCATTTGGTCAGTGTATGAATGATCTCTCTCAAACTGATTGCCAACTCTGTTTCTCTGAGTGCAAAACTGAGATATACAAATGTGTTCCATTTCAAAAGGGCACCACAAGAGGGAGGACTTTCCTTGATGGGTGTTATTTGAGGTATGATACTTATGATTTCTTCCATGAAATCTTGGATTCAGAGGATAAAGTTGTGTGTAATGGAAGTAGGTTTAATGGATCAGAGAGGAGTTTTGTGAGGAACTCTTTGGGTCTTATGAAGAATTTGAGTGCTGGGGCTACTGGGGGTGATGGATTTAAGGTTGGTTTTGTGGAGAGAGAAAATACTAGTGTTTATGGACTTGTTCAGTGTTGGAAACCTTTGAACATGAGCTCTTGTGGGCGTTGTTTGGATAGTGGGGTGGTTTCTCTTTCTACATGTTTGCCTTTGGTGGAAGGGAGGGTTCTGAATTCAGGGTGTTATTTGAGGTACTCGACTCGGCCTTTCTACAACGTTAACACGAGCTCGGTGGCGAGCACCAAAGGTAACTAGGTTCCCTTTCTCTTTTCAAAATCATGGCTTCAATTTTCACAATGCAACTCTTAAATCTCTGTTGTCTGGTTTTTTGGATTTTTTAATGGAAACTGCGCAGTTGCATGTGTTTTGGGATTTGTTGTTTTTTATTAACCTTGCATATCTGACATGATTCTTAGCATCTAGGTTTATGAGTGGAATTCTGTATATTATGGATTTTTCCGTTTTTATAATTTTTGAGGTGGAAATTTATGGTGTTTTTCTTTTCGGAAGGTTTGTATTTAGCTTTTTAATTTGTAAAGATTTTGGGTGGAAATTTGCAGATTTATTTTTGTTATCTTGTCATTTCTAGGTTTCAGGAGTTTCAGATGGAATTGTGAAAGTTTCCATTTGTAGGATTTCAAGAGCAAATTTGTTGGGCAGTGGATATTATGTGATATCCCATTTTAACGGCTTTAGGTGGGAGTTGTGCAGATTTTCCTTTTTTTTACTTCGACCATTTCTAGGTTTTTATTTGAAATTATGGAGCCTTTTCCGAGTATGTCAATTTTATGATTTCTAGGTTGTGATTTTGAAATGCATAGATTGCTTGTTCTAATGATTTCTAGGCTTTTAATCGAAAATTTTCCTAGCTGCATATTTCATTAAATTTAGCTCACTTGGTGTTCAGCAGGAAATCAAAAAGAAAAAAGTTTGATTTTTCAGAATTCTGTTCCTTTTAGAGCTGCTTAGGGTTTCTGGTTCTTAGATCCTATTGGGGCCTATAAATTTTAATGTCTTGGACTTGGGGAGGACATTAGGCAGGAAATGACCCATTTTTGGGGCTTTTGTGCAATCACTTTTATGGCTGCAGTGGATCTTCATATTGATACCGATCTTCAGGTTATATGTCTTGGATTCCATAGATCATTTCTAATTGCTACCCTTATGGAGGCTTAGTTAGTTGGTGTTCTTTTCGTATGCTTTCTTTGTTTCCCTTTCTTTGAGCTGGTTGATTCAGAAAAGAAGAAGTTCATGGATCACTAGTTTTTTTTTTTTGGGTCTTTCAATGGCTCTGCAACAATAGCAAGCATAATGGATATTGTAATTTTATCTTTTTATCTATTATTACATCTATCACATATCAGGGTTCTTTGGCTTCTCTGGGATACCCTGTTCATTAATTTCATATAGCTGTTTCAGAGTAAATGCTTACCTCTAAGAGGGCTAGACAATACCTATTGAGATTCCTGAGGAAAAAAAACAGATACTAAATCTGTTGTGTGTGTGTGTGTGTGTGTGTGTGTGTGTGTGTGAGAGAGAGAGAGAGAGAGAGAGAGAGAGAGAGT